TAAATGGGACCTCATAATGAAACTGGAAAAGCCTCTGTAAGGCATAGGACACTGTCATAGGACAAAATGGCATCCTGCAGTTTGGGAAAAGATTTTCACCAATTCCATATCCAATTGAAGGCTAATATCTAAAATATATAAAGAACTCAAAAAAGTAGACATCAACAAACCAAATAATCTAATTTAAAAATGGAGTATAGCTCTAAACAGAGAATTTTCAATAGAGGAATGTCAAATATCTGAAAAACACCTAAAGAAATGTTTAACATCTTTAGCCTCAGGGAAATGCAAATCAAAACTACTTTGAGATTCCATCCTAAACCTGTCAGAATGGCTAAGGTCAATAATGCAAGTGACAGCTCATGCTGGTAAGTATGTGGGGCAAGGGGAACACTCCATTGCTGGTGGGAGTGCAAATTTGTACAACTTGGAAATTAATATGGCAGTTCTTGAGAAAACTGAATCAATCTACCTCAAGAGCCAACTATGCCACTCTTGGGCATATATCCAAAGGATGCTCCATCCTACCACAAAGACATTTGTCCAACTATGTTTATAGTGGCTTTATTTATAATAGCCAGAAACTGGAAACAATGTAGATGCCCTTGACTGCAAAATAAAGAAGTATACATTTTATACAGTGGAGTATTACTTAGCTTTTGTTTTTTTAAAAAAATCATGAAATTTTCAGGTAAATGGATGGAACTGTAAAAAAATTAACCTGAGTGAGGTAACCCAGACCCAGAAAGACAAAAATGGTATGTACTCACTTACAAGCGGATATAAGCTATTAAATAAATGGTAATCATGATACAACCCACAGGCCTAGAAAAGCTAAGTAACAAGGAGGGCTGGGTGGGGGGTGGGGGGGAGATGCATGGATCTCCCTGAGGAAAAATAAAATAGATTTTGTAGGTGGACTGAGGGCAGGTGGGAATGGGAGCAGGACTAATGAGGTGGTGGTGGGAGAGATGGAGGAAGAGATGATTGGAATTGGAGAGCATTTGGAGGGGGCTGATGTGGAAACCTAGTGCAGTGTACACTCCCAGGATTCTACAATGGTGCCTAGTGAGTACTAATAATGGAGGATACAGAACTTGAACCAGCTATCTTCTGTAACCAAGCAACTTCCAGTGGTGGGACTGGGGCAAGTCTTGCCTGCAAAGAGTGTGTGTGTGTGTGTGTGTGTGTGTGTGTGTGTGTGTGTGTGTGTGTTGAAGGGAACATTGAAGGTGTAGAACTTGTGAGAATGGCCAACCAATGACTGGTCTGATTTGAGACCCGCGCCATGAAAGGGAGCCCTTGCCCTACACTGCCTGGTAGCCAGTAAGTGCAGGCTGAACAGTTCAGACACTTAGGATAGAAAAAAAGAGAGAATCATTAAAATTATTCCTAATTATATTCTATACTCATAGATTGGTGCCTAGCCCAGTTGTTATCAGAAAGACCCACATCCACACATTGGGTGCAGAGAAAGCCCAAACTGGAGATTTCTGTAGGGTCCCTTTTCTTAGTGCTAGGGGAACCCCACGGAAGAAGGGGAAAAAGAATTGCAGGAGCCAGAGGATTGAGGACATCAGGAGAACATGGCCCACAGGATCAACTAAGCAGGTTCACAGTGGCTCACAGAGACTGAAACAGTAGTCATGGAACCTGCATGGATCTCCAAATATGTTATGGTTGTTAGCTGATTTTTGGTGTGACTTCTAACTGGCAGGGACAGAGAGTGGGTTGGGATCCTTTTCTGCCTACTGGGTTGCCTTGTCCAGCCCTGATATGACAGTTTATTTCTAATCTTACTGTAACTTGTTATGCTCTGTTCTGTTGCTCTCCCTGGGAGGCCAGTTTTTTTTTTTTTTTTTTTTTTTTTGTTTTATTATTACAATGTATTCACTTTGTATCCCAGCTGTAGCGTATTTCCTCATCCCCTTCTAATCCCGCCCTCCCTCCCTCTTCTCCTCCCATGCCCCTCCCCCAGTCCACTGATAGGGCGGTCCTCCTCCCCTTCCCTCCGACCCTAGCCTATTAGGTCTCATCAGGACTGACTGCTTCATCTTTCTCTGTGGCCTGGTAAGGCTGCTCCCCAGGAGGAGGTGATCAAAGAGCCAGCCGCTGAGTTCATGTCAGAGACAGTCCCTGTTCCCATTACTATGGTACCCACTTGGAGACTGAGCTGCCATGGGCTACATCTTTGCAGGGGTTCTAGGTTATCTCCATTAATGGTCCTTGGTTGGAGTATCTGTCTCAGAAAAGATCCCTGAGCCCAGTTTTGTGGGGTTTGTTTGTTTTGTTTTGTTTTGGTTTGGTTCTATTGCTCTCCTTGTAGAGCTCCTGTCCCCTCCAGGTCTTTCTAACTCCCCCTTCTTTCATAAGATTCCCTAAACTCTGCCCAAAGTTTGGTTATGAGTCTCAGCATCTGCTTTAATACCCTGCTGGGTAGAGCCTTTTAGAGGCCCTCTGTGGTAGGCTTCTGTCCTGTTCCCTGTTTTCTTCCTCTTCCAATGTCTATCCCCTTTGCCTTTCTGAATGATGATTGAACATCTTACCCAGGTCGGGAGGTCCGCTCTTTTCTAAAGGGAAACAGAGGAGGAGCTGTGAGGAAGAGGGGAGGGAGGGCCTGGGAGGAGTGGAGGGAGAGGAAACTGACAGGATATATTTTATGAGAGGGAGAGGGAGAGAGGAAGTTCTGCGATTGAAGAACCATCTAAAGTGGAAGTGGCATCTAGACTTTCTGGCAAGAAAAGTAGCTCCAAGACTGTGGATGTATCTCAGTTTGGTAGAGTGATTGCCTAGCATTCATGAGGCTCTAGCATTCATGTCGCCAGTACCATATAAAACTTGACAGAGTGTTACACATAGTCTCAACACTTTGAAAGAGGATTAGAAGTTCTAAGTTATTTTCAGTTATACAGTGGGTTTGAGCTTGGCCTGAGTTTCATAGACCCTGTTTACTATCCCTAGTCTTACTCTGATTCTGTTGTGCTCCTACAGTCTGCCCTCCTGGGTTTTGTGCTACAGTTTTTGTCATTTGTGCCTCTGTAAAGTGAAAATCAAAACAAAAGTAACTGTAAAGAATAAGTACTGCAGTAAGCTATTTTTAAACACACATATATATATTCCATATGTGACACTGTTGTAAATAATAATTAAGAAATGCCTTATTTAAACCTAATTGAAGTAAGCATAGTATTTCTATCTTCCCTTTATGGGGAAGGAAACTGATACCTTCTAAAGCTTATGTATATTGTTGTTTGTAAGTGTCTGAATTATTGTTCTATTGCCATGAAGAAACAAAGTAGCTTTTTTTTAAGCATTTAATTGGGAGCTTGCTTACTGTTTCATATAGTTAGTCAGTGATCATCATGGCAGGAAGCATGGAAGCAGGCAGGCATGGCACTGAATGCCTGCTTCCTGATCTGCAGAACGAGAATGCACAAACCTCAGCCCATCCCTAGTGATACACCTCATCCAGTATTGCCTTACACCCTAATCCTTCCTAAATGGACCACCAACTGGGAACCAAACATTCAAATATATGAGGGCCATTTGCATTCAAACCACCATAGTAAGCAATGACCTTCAGTTATACTTTAGTTAATAATTCTGGTGGCCTGACAGACAAGGAAATGGAAGGAGGAAAAAAAAAAAAACAGAAGGAGGAAATAAAGACAAGGGAAGAAAGCCTAGTAAAAATTTCACATACCTTCCCTGAAGCTTCAGGAAAGCACTCTGCCAGTCTTAAGAGCCACCATTGGTATTATTTATTTAGTAATTACTTTGCCTACTTAAAAAAAAAAAAAAAAAAAACCAACTTATTACATAGAGTTGATATGTTAGTATCCACTCTTAGATAATGAAACCTAATTACACACAGCCCATACCTAAGGTGATTCACATTTTCTATTTTTTGCCTTACACAGAGCCACTGGAATTAAAAATTGACCTAGTTATCTTAATAAAATAAACAAACCTTATGCAACCTTGAGAATTTCGTTTTATTTTTTGAAGGGACACCAACAGACTCACAGTGTAGAAAATAAAGGTCTCAACATTCCTTTTGAGTAGTATAGGAATGCAGTTCCTTCTTAATTACCGTTTTTCAGAAATTGATGGGGTTTTGTTTTGTTTGTTTTTTGTTTTGTTTTGAGACAGTTTCTCTGGGTAGCCTTGGCTGTCCTAGACTCACTTAGTAGACCAGGCTAGCCTCAAACTCACAGAGATCTGCCTCTGCTTCACTGAGTACTGGGATTAAAGCTGTGCGTCACTGAACCCGATGATTTATTAATTTTTACTTGAATGTATATATACAAACAACAGCTTGAAGGCATTGGTGCTGGGAATTGAACTATCATTCTCTGCAAGAGCAGTGCATGTTTTTAACTGCTGAGCCATCTTTCAGCCCCTTGTAGTTCCTTTTTAAAATATATATTGATGTAATTGTTTTGGAGGAAAAAAAAATAACTACAAGATACCTGGTCTATACCCTGCTACATATAATAAAAATAAAAATCATGGGAGCTGGAGAGATGACTCAGTGGTTAATAGAGAGCACTGCTTTTTTGCTGGATCACCCACATTTGAATCCCAGCACCCACATTGGACAGCTTACAACTGCCTGTAGTTCCAGGTACAGGGAGTTCCAATGCCTATGGCCTCCTGCATTCCTATGTACATACCCCCACACAGACTTTCATGCATACAAATAATTAAAAATCTTTAAAAATCATAATTATTCGCTTTGAAAGAGATCTAGTGTTGCTTCCAAAATTGTACTAGATAACAAAAATATCAGAAAATTTCTAAACGGTTGTTTGAAGTATAACTTAGATTTTGAGTTTTTTAAGGTTTAAAAACTAATATTACTGATTATGAGAGGCTAAGTGGGACATTAATCTTTAAATATTTATTTATATTTTGTTTGGAGTACCAAAATAGACTTGCAGTTAGGAACACTATCCAATATCTAGATATAGTTGAATCTATTTGTTATATTGTTTTAGGTTTATTCCAGGATGCAGATCCATGCAGTGATCATGGCTATCATGTCAAGCTAGATGCTACTGAAAAAACTCTCATGCCAGATGGGAAAAAAATTTTTCCACAGATTATTCAAACAAATGAACTTTTATTTTATGAGCGATTCAGAGCGTATCAAGATTACATTTTAGGTGAGTAATTTCTTGTCATTTTATAGTTTTAATTTTCAAACAGATTGTCCTCAGATTGTCAGTTGTTCTTAGAAAGTAGGTTCAGATGAGTTTATGAACTTCTCATTTATACATTCCCAATTCTTATTTAATTTGTAGCTGACTGTAAGGCCTCTGAGGTAAAGGAATTCACGATCAGCTTCTTGGAAAAGGTCCTTGAACCATCTGGATGGTGGGCAGTCTGGCGCACTAATGTGTTTGAGGTGCTGGTTGAGGTAAGTTTGTTGTGGGTCATAAGTATTTATTATTGGTATATCTTTTAGTTAAACAGTGGTTATTCCTAAACAGCTGTAAAACTAAGTCACCACACAGAGACCAGGATTTATTTAATTAACCTAGAGCACAATGCTGGCCAATAGTTACTCTATCCTAAACCTCCAAGCCCGCATAGTTTCCTGCCATTCAGGTTCACCCATTTTTTTTTTTTTTTTTTTTTGAGACAGTTTCTCTGGGTAGCCTTGGCTGTCCTAGACTCACTTAGTAGACCAGGCTAGCCTCAGACTCACAGAGATCTGCCTCTGCTTCACTGAGTACTGGGATTAAAGCTGTGCGTCACTGAACCCGATGATTTATTAATTTTTACTTGAATGTATATATACAAACATCAGCTTGAAGGCATTGGTGCTGGGAATTGAACTATCATTCTCTGCAAGAGCAGTGCATGTTTTTAACTGCTGAGCCATCTTTCAGCCCCTTGTAGTTCCTTTTTAAAATATATATTGATGTAATTGTTTTGGAGGAAAAAAAAATAGCTACAAGATACCTGGTCTATACCCTGCTACATATAATAAAAATAAAAATTATGGGAGCTGGAGAGATGACTCAGTGTACTAAAGACAAAATACTGTACTAAAGACAAAAAGCTGAGGAGCAGTGAAGCCTTTAAAGGGGGCAAAAAATAATGTTAATGTTGGAGCAACTTCTTTCTAGGTCCTTGAAAATTAGAAATATCATATGCACAGCATAGGAGAGGTAGGTCACTGGACTTGGACCTTTATCTTTCCTTTAGCTTATACTGCTGTATTATACTTGCTTTTAGTAATATCTTAGGTGTGGTTCATGTGGTTCCAAGATCTCCCTTCCAGATTCTCCTCCTCTCTTCTCCCTGTTCCCTCCCACTCCGGACCAATATGTCCCACCCTATCCTCTCCATTGCTCAACATTGTGGCTGGTTGTTTTAATTGACAATTTAGAGAACCAATGGTGACATGTTTACACAAACTTAAGACTGGTGATGCTTAAAATAAGCATCACAATTTCAATCCAGATTGAAACCAGATAGTGGGGGAGAGAAATCAGCATTTGAATGAACAAGGGTAAATTGTATACATTCCAAAAGAACATTATAGCAACATAAGTTGAATTCTCTTATGAAATAATTTGCCAAGCTTTCCTCTGTGTTTAAGACTTTGTTCTCCATGTCCTGGATTGAATTAATCTCTATTTTTAATATTCTTTGAAGTCATTGATCATTTTTAATAGTAAAATTTTAAACTAATTTTTGAAGTTTTGTGTGGTAGTTCTCATAATACATGGCATCCTCACATGTGTGACATACTTTGTTCTCATGTTGTCCTCCCCACAAACCCTCTCCACATAGTTCTCTCCCTCCCCTCAGTTAGTTCAAACTTCTGCTTTCTTATCACATATATTACTTACCCTCTATATTTTGTATCTGTTAAGATCTTCTTCCTCTTAATGTTCTTGCTTCTAATTTTTTTTTAATTTATGTATTTTTACATTTATTCAGTGAGTACGTGTGTGTGTGTGTGTGTGTGTGTGTGTGTGTGTGTGTGTGTGTGTG